AGCGTTTTGTCCTGCTGTGTTCATCCAGCTCTACACCTTCTTAGTTACGATACCACTTTCTTGGTTACATTCTTAAATTTTCAACAGTTTACATTCAGGATAAAGCATCAGCAATTACATTTTCTTTCCCTGAAATATGTACCATTTTTACGTTAAAAGGCTACAATAACAAACTCCAATGGAACAATCTCAGAGTTGTAATTTTAAATCTCCCAATAAAAGATAACAGATTACGATCAATAAAAACTAAAGTGTCATGGTTTTCATGTCAAACATAAATTTCTAATCATTGAAGAGTGACAACACTACCAATGCTTCCAATTCTATTGTGGAATACCTTTTCTATTGTTGATGCAGTTTCTTGGAAGAATAGCTTCTCATTCTGCCCTTGTTATCCTGTAGGAGAACTGCTCCAATCCCCAAATCACTAGTGTTTACTATTAGCTTAAACAGCTTTTTAAATTGCGGTTAATTCAGGTTCATTTGTTAAGATTGCTTTCAGCTTTTCAAAGGCTGTCTGGCATTTCATGCATACTATCTTTGTCTGTTGTCACACCAAGTTGGTTAAAGACACAGATATTGTACTAAAATCAGGTATAAAATTCCAAAAAATCTGCACATTTCCAAAAAACCTCATTATTTCATTCTAGGGCTGGAGAAGTCAATCAAACATCTTAATTTTGCTGTTCTGGGTGACATTCATTCTTTCACTACAATATGTCTTAAATACATCACTTTTGCTTCTGCAAATTTATTTTTTGATTGACTTAATACTAACCCAGTCAGCTGTAATTGTTTAAACAAGTTTTCTAACTGTTCTACATGTTCCTTCTATAAACAACTGTATACAATACCATCCAAGTAAACTATACAATTAAGTACTTCAGTTATAACTCAGTTCTTTAATTACTGAAATGTGGCGGGAGTGTTCTTAAATTCAAATGGCACAACCTTGCATTGGTACAAACAATTGGGCGTGAACAAAATAGAAATTTCTTTTGCTTTTTTGTCAATGGCACCTGATGGGATCATAGAATCATAGAATTTGCACAAGGAGGCCATTTGACCCATCATGTTTGTACCAGTTCCCAGTTACCCAGCTAGTCCCATTATTCAGTTCTAGCTCCAGAACCCTCTAAATTCATAACATTCGAATATATATCCAGTTCTCTTTTGAAACCTCTTATAGAATCCAATTCCATTGCTCTCCCAGGTAATGCATTCAGAACAACTCTCTCAGTAAGGAAGTTTCTCCTCATCTCACTCTTAGCTTTCTTGTTGACAGTCTTGAAATTGTGACCCCTAGTTATTGACATAGCAACTAATGGAAACAGAATATCCTTTTCTATCCTTTCAAAATTGTTCATAATTTCGATCACCTCAATCCTTTAACCTTCTCTGCTCCAAGGAGAATAAGCCCAATTTCTCTAATCTTTCCTTGCATGTAAAATCCTTCATTTTTACTGTCATTCTAGCAAATTTTCTTTGTACTCTCTCCAGGGCTTCAGCACCATTTCCTAAATAAGGTGCCCAGAACTAAATACAATACTCCAAATGTGTATTGTAAACTATACAATTAAGTACTTCAGTTATAACTCAGTTCTTTAATTACTGAAATTTGGCTGGAGTGTTCTTAAATTCAAATGGCACATACTTGCATTGGTACAATAATTATAATAAATCAATTTTAGATAAGAATGATGTACTATCAACCTTATTAATGCAATCTTCTAGTCTGGGAATAGGGTACGAATCTACATTTTTG